GATTCCTTGGGCTTGGCATAGGGGAGAGGATTTAGCTTTATAGCTATTTTTTTTTAATATTATGCAGTTGTATCTTTACCTGACAGATTGTAACAATTCCACTGAAACCACAATGAGAAAATCTGGACGAAGGGCACCATTAAAAATACAGAGTGCTGATCCAAAAACATGTTCAAAGGCCTTTTTAAAACAGGTGTAATACAAAAACTGTCAAGATTATCACTAATTAAGAGATACCAGATGGGCCCAGTACACTGTATACTGTACAAACTATTGGCCACCAAAGGGTAATTTTGCAGAATGAAGTTGTTTGCGAGTTATACCCATAGAAGCACCTAAATAGTCTATCAACAGAACTTATTTTAACGCTACAAAGGGAGAATCAGCCAGGGTTTATTTTGTTCTTTTTCCTTGTTGCTGTTGTGTATGCTTCTAGGCTGTGAACTTGTTTATAAAGTTACAGCACAGAACAATTATGAGGCCATTAGAAATTACTCAGCATTGAGGCATACAATGGAAAGGCTGTCAGAATCTGAACTATAGCAGTGGATATAAAGCTATAATATACCTTAGCCCTATTACACACTCTCCTCTAACTTTCTAGGTTTCTGCCCTGTGAATTTCTCCCCTTCTCCTCTCTTGCAATTCCTTCCCTGGCAAACATGGTGCCTTAACCATTTTTCTCGTGAATCATCATCTGCTGATAACTGCTGCAGTTCGAACCTCCAGTCTGTCTTCAACCCCACTTAAAGCTTATTATGATACATTTTTGTAGACTGTTTCACCTGCATGAAATATAAATGCCAGTTGAATATCAAAGAGCAGCTGAAGAAAGTGATGAAGATATGCCTTAGCATCTGTCATTTCTTGCAGGCCAAAGAGGGACAGTGGATGCCAGTTTAATGAAATTAAATGTGTGTTCTTTCAAAATAAAAGTAGCAAAATAAACCAAAGATAATTATAGGTTTCAGAGGAACAGCCGTGTTAGTCTGTATTCGCAAAAAGAAAAGGAGTACTTGTGGCACCTTAGAGACTAACCAATTTATTTGAGCATGAGCTTTCGTGAGCTACAGCTCACTTCATCAGATGTATACCGTGGAAACTGCAGCAGACTTTATATACACACAGAGAATATGAAACAATACCTCCTCCCACCCCACTGTCCTGCTGGTAATAGCTTATCTAAAGTGATCAACAGGTGGACCATTTCCAGCACAAATCCAGGTTTTCTCACCCTCCACCCCCCCCACACAAATTCACTCTCCTGCTGGTGATAGCCCATCCAAAGTGACAACTCTTTACATAATCAAGTCGGGCTATTTCCTGCATAGATCCAGGTTTTCTCACATCCCCCCCACCCCCATACACACACAAACTCACTCTCCTGCTGGTAATAGCTCATCTAAACTGACCACTCTCCAAGTTTAAATCCAAGTTAAACCAGAACATAAACAATGGCCACATAAACACCACCCTATACCGGAAACCTACTGACCGCTATTCCTACCTACATGCCTCCAGCTTTCACCCTGACCACACCACACGATCCATCGTCTACAGCCAAGCTCTGCGATACAACCGCATTTGCTCCAACCCCTCAGACAGAGACAAACACCTACAAGATCTCTGTCAAGCTTTCTTACAACTACAATACCCACCTGCAGAAGTAAAGAAACAGATTGATAGAGCCAGAAGAGTTCCCAGAAGTTACCTACTACAGGACAGGCCTAACAAAGAAAATAACAGAACGCCACTAGCGGTCACCTTCAGCCCCCAACTAAAACCCCTCCAACGCATTATTAAGGATCTACAACCTATCCTAAAGGATGACCCAACATTCTCACAAGTCTTGGGAGACAGGCCAGTCCTTGCCTACAGACAGCCCCGCAATCTGAAGCAAATACTCACCAACAACCACATACCACACAACAGAACCACTAACCCAGGAACTTATCCTTGCAACAAAGCCCGTTGCCAATTGTGCCCACATATCTATTCAGGGGACACCATCACAGGGCCTAATAACATCAGCCACACTATCAGAGGCTCGTTCACCTGCACATCCACCAATGTGATATATGCCATCATGTGCCAGCAATGCCCCTCTGCCATGTACATTGGTCAAACTGGACAGTCTCTACGTAAAAGAATAAATGGACACAAATCAGATGTCAAGAATTATAACATTCATAAACCAGTCGGAGAACACTTCAATCTCTCTGGTCACGCAATCACAGACATGAAGGTCGCTATCTTAAAACAAAAAAACTTCAAATCCAGACTCCAGCGAGAAACTGCTGAATTGGAATTCATTTGCAAATTGGATACTATTAATTTAGGCTTAAATAGAGACTGGGAGTGGCTAAGTCATTATGCAAGGTAGCCTGTTTCCTCTTGTTTTTTCCTACTCCCCCCCCCCCAGATGTTCTGGTTTAACTTGGATTTAAACTTGGAGAGTGGTCAGTTTAGATGAGCTATTACCAGCAGGAGAGTGAGTTTGTGTGTGTATGGGGGTGGGGGGGATGTGAGAAAACCTGGATCTATGCAGGAAATAGCCCGACTTGATTATGTAAAGAGTTGTCACTTTGGATGGGCTATCACCAGCAGGAGAGTGAATTTGTGTGGGGGGGTGGAGGGTGAGAAAACCTGGATTTGTGCTGGAAATGGTCCACCTGTTGATCACTTTAGATAAGCTATTACCAGCAAGACAGTGGGGTGGGAGGAGGTATTGTTTCATATTCTCTGTGTGTATATAAAGTCTGCTGCAGTTTCCACGGTATACATCTGATGAAGTGAGCTGTAGCTCACGAAAGCTCATGCTCAAATAAATTGGTTAGTCTCTAAGGTGCCACAAGTACTTCTTTTGTTTTTGCAAAGATAATTAGTTAATAAAGCTGAGTCACAGAATCCCAGCATAGGAAACACAAAGCGAACGTTGACAGAAATAGATTAAGGGAGCCAGGCTGTCTACAAAGGCAGAGGAAAGGTCAGAAGGATTTTCAGTTCAAATCTCAGATGATCCATCCTCCCACTGTAACCTCAGTTCAGGCACTTGACCTCCTGGCAAGTCAGACATCCCAGCTGAAAAACTGAGTAAAGGGGGAGAACCTGAGCAGAGCTTTCAGGAACAAGTAATTGATGAAGTGGGCTCTGCCTTTGTCTTCACCTCCCAGGAACAGTGGAATGCACAATGCAAAGCAAAATACACTCCAGCCCGAGCAAAGGGCTGGCTGGCATTATCCTTTGTGAGACAACATGGCCCAGTGGACAAGGCACTGTATAGGACTCAATCCCTAACCTGCTGGGTGGCCTTGGGCAAATAACTTCCCGTCTCTGTCTCTGTTCCCTCTCCCACCCTTCACGTGTCTTGTCTATTTAGATTTCATGCTCGCCAGGGCAGGGACTGTCCTGCACTAGGAGTTTGTACAGTACCTAGCACAGTTGGTCTTGATTTTGGTTAAGAGGCCTCTAGATGCTACTGTAATTTCACATTTATATGACACCTTTCCACCACAAAGTGCTTCACAAACTATACACCCAGTACTGCAAGGTGCTGAGCACCTCCAGGATGGGGCTGAACTTCTGTTGTCATCAATGTGTACCAAAGGTCCGAAGAAGTAAATAGGATAGGACCCTCTGTATAGTACTTTCAGAAATGTTGGGATGGAGACTGGTGGCCAGGGTATCATGGTGGGGAAAAAAGGGGGCAGTTGAGGGCAGATGCCAGAGCAATTTTCTATGTCCCTGGAAAAGGACATGGAAACCCTTACGAACAAAGAGAATTCCCATTTTTTAATTCTTGTGCAAACATACAAACATAGCAAATGACAGCTGATCTCAGAACAGCTGAATCAGTCCTGTCAGGATCGGAGTATGTGATCTAGACATTTGAAAACTGACGGTCAAAACAGAGAACCTTCCCCTTGGCTGCATTCGCTGAGATTGCTGGCCCATGGAACTTTACAATATTCCTGCTTGAGGAAGACTTATTTTCGTGCATGTACAAGCTTATCTGTAATAATTGCCCAGTACACCATTCTGCTCCTGTCAGGATCTGTCCTGCAAAGCTGGATTAACTCTGCACCAAGAAGTCTCTCCCAGCACCATGCTGCCTGCAAGTCTCAGGAAAATCTCACTTAGCATTAAAACAGCAATTTGAAGATGCTGGTTCTGTAGTCATAAAACTGCCAACCCAAGGGGCACTTGTGCATTTGTTGCATAAATACAGCTCAGGATGTGTATTCAAGCCTGCACTTTAATTACAGGCCATTTTAACATCAGTGTAGAGAGAGCTGGAGTCCTACTGTGGCAAAGCATATTAGAGAGTGGCTCTGCCCCTGGAGACAGATGGGAAATTAATTTTTTGCCCTTATGGTTCTGAAGTGAACCAAATATAAAATGGTGCAGTGCGGTCTGCCACATTCCGCAAACATCCTGAAACAAGTGCTGAGAGGCATCAATACTCCCACTTTTCTCAGTATGGTGTGAAGGCTGAAACCCAGCGAAAGCAATTTAAAAAAAGATTAACAGCATCAGTGGTTTCATTGCTGAATTTCAGAAGCAGCATCACATCATCTATTGTGTTTACCCACTGTTGACAGATGTAGTGGCAGATACAGGGCAGGGGTGCTGGAGGGCAGTTCATTTCTGTCAAGGGTCACCGAGGTAGGAGTCAAGGGATTCAAACCTCCCCCATCACTAATTCAGAGTTGCCACTGCATCCACCTACTCAAGCCAAAAGCTTTGTATGTTTCTTGGACTTCAAAACACAAAACCATCCTCCCAGGTATCAAAACTTCCATTGTTCCCTAGCCAGCTGTCGAACCCAGCTTGCTGCTCCTCTGTATCCAAACCCACCCACAATCTAGTTAGAAATACAAACATCAATAGCCCACTGAAAGCTAAACACAAGAGAGACTGCATTGATTCTACTGAGCTGGTATGGGGGAAAACAGCTCATGGGATGGGGTTTTACAGGGGGCGGAGGAGTTGAGGAATACCAACGATAATTCCCTGGTTCTTCTCTCATAATTCAGATATAAGGAGACACTGAGCCCTGGTCTACACTAGGCCCTGGTCTACACTAGGACTTTAGGTCGAATTTAGCAGCGTTAAATCGATTTAAACCTGCACCCGTCCACACAATGAAGCCCTTTATTTCGACTTAAAGGGCTCTTAAAATCGATTTCCTTACTCCACCCCTGACAAGTGGATTAGCGCTTAAATCGACGTTGCCGGCTCGAATTTGGGGTACTGTGGACACAATTCGATGGTATTGGCCTCCGGGAGCTATCCCAGAGTGCTCCATTCTGACCGCTCTGGACAGCACTCTCAACTCAGATGCACTGGCCAGGTAGACAGGAAAAGAACCGCGAACTTTTGAATCTCATTTCCTGTTTGGCCAGCGTGGCAAGCTGCAGGTGACCATGCAGAGCTCATCAGCACAGGTGACCATGATGGAGTCCCAGAATCGCAAAAGAACTCCAGCATGGACCGAACGGGAGGTACGGGATCTGATCGCTGTTTGGGGAGAGGAATCCGTGCTATCAGAACTCCGTTCCAGTTTTCGAAATGCCAAAACCTTTCTGAAAATCTCCCAGGGCATGAAGGACAGAGGCCATAACAGGGACCCGAAGCAGTGCCGCGTGAAACTGAAGGAGCTGAGGCAAGCCTACCAGAAAACCAGAGAGGCGAACAGCCGCTCTGGGTCAGAGCCCCAAACATGCCGCTTCTATGATGAGCTGCATGCCATTTTAGGGGGTTCAGCCACCACTACCCCAGCCGTGTTGTTTGACTCCTTCAATGGAGATGGAGGCAATACGGAAGTAGGTTTTGGGGACGAAGAAGATGATGATGAGGAGGAGGTTGTAGATAGCTCACAGCAAGCAAGCGGAGAAACCGGTTTTCCCGACAGCCAGGAACTGTTTCTCACCCTAGACCTGGAGCCAGTACCCCCGAACCCACCCAAGGCTGCCTCCTGGACCCAGCAGGCGGAGAAGGGACCTCTGGTGAGTGTACCTTTTAAAATGCTATACATGGTTTAAAAGCAAGCATGTGAAAGGATTACTTCCACCCCCACCCCCGCCCCCCAAACCCCCCCCCCCTCCAGAGGGGGGGGGAAAAGGGAAACCAAGAGACCCCAAAGAAAGAGGGGGACCCCCACGCCCCCCCCCCCCCCCCACACACACACCACAAAAACCCACACCCCGGGAGGAGGGACAGGGCACCCCCCCCCCCCCCCCCCCCCCCCCCCCCCGCGGGCCCCCCCACGGAGGCCGCGCGACGCCCGGGCGCCCCGGGGGGGGGGGGGGGGGGGGGGCGGGGGAGCGCGGACACCCTCTAACCCCCGTACCTCTTTGGCCCTACCCAACTTTCCCCTTGGCCTCCTGTCCCCCTCCCCCCCCCCCCCCCACCTACCACCCCCCCCAGCTTGGGACAACCGGAAATGGGGAGAGGGGGACACAACCCACCCCACCCAAGATGAGAAGAAGAAAAAAAACCCGGGCCCCGGGAGGGCCCCGGGGGGGGCCCCCCTGAGCGGGCGACAAAAAGAAGGGGGCATGGAAAACCACCCGTTGACCCAACAACCCACCGCTTTGCCCTGGCATTTGCGGTTCTCCTAGATGTAGTCCTAAAGCCTTTGCAAAAGGTTTCTGGGGAGGGCAGCCTTATTTTGTCCTTCATGGTAGGACACTTTACCACTCCAGGCCAGTAACACGTCGGAATCACTGTAGAACAAAGCATTGCAGTGTATGTTTGCTGGCATTCAACCAAAATCCGTTCTTTATCTCTCTGTGTTATCCTCAGGAGAGTGAGATATAATTCATGGTCACCTGGTTGAAATAGAGTGCTTTTCTTCAGGGGACACTCAGAGGAGCCCATTCCTGCTGGGCTGTTTGCCTGTGGCTAAACAGAAATGTTCCCCGCTGTTAGCCACAGGGAGGGGGTAGCCACGCGGTGGGGGGAGGCAAAATGCGACCTTGTAACGAAAGCACATGTGCTATGTATGTAATGTTAACAGCAAGGTTTACCCTGAAAGAGTGTAGCGACTGTTTTATAAAATGTGTCTTTTTAAATACCGCTGTCCCTTTTTTTTTCTCCACCAGCTGCATGTGTTTCAATGATCACAGGATCTTCTCCTTCCCAGAGGCTAGTGAAGCTTAGAAAGAAAAAAAAAACGCACTCGCGATGAAATGTTCTCCGAGCTCATGCTGTCCTCCCACACTGACAGAGCACAGACGAATGCGTGGAGGCAAATAATGTCAGAGTGCAGGAAAGCACAAAATGACCGGGAGGAGAGGTGGAGGGCTGAAGAGAGTAAGTGGTGGGCTGAAGACAGGGCTGAAGCTCAAATGTGGCGGCAGCGTGATGAGAGGAGGCAGGATTCAATGCTGAGGCTGCTGCAGGACCAAACCAGTATGCTCCAGTGTATGGTTGAGCTGCAGCAAAGGCAGCTGGAGCACAGACTGCCACTGCTGCCCCTCTGTAACCAAGCGCCCTCCTCCCCAAGTTCCATAGTCTCCACACCCAGACGCCCAAGAACGCGGTGGGGGGGCCTCCGGCCAACCAGCCACTCCACCACAGAGGATTGCCCAAAAAAAAGAAGGCTGTCATTCAATAAATTTTAAAGTTGTAAACTTTTAAAGTGCTGTGCTTAAAGTGCTGTGTGGCATTTTCCTTCCCTCCTCCACCACCCCTCCTGGGATACCTTGGTAGTCATCTCCCTATTTGTGTGATGAATGAATAACGAATGCATGACTGTGAAGCAGCAATGACTTTATTGCCTCTGCAAGCAATGATTAAAGGGAGGAGGGGAGGGTGGTTAGCTTACAGGGAAGTAGAGTGAACCAAGGGGCGGGGGGTTTCATCAAGGAGAAACAAACAGAACTTTCACACCGTAGCCTGGCCAGTCATGAAACTGGTTTTCAAAGCTTCTCTGATGAGTACCGCGCCCTCCTGTGCTCTTGTAACCGCCCAGGTGTCTGGCTGCGTGTAACCAGCAGCTAGGCGATTTGCCTCAACCTCCCACCCCGCCATAAACGTCTCCCCCTTACTCTCACAGATATTGTGGAGCACACAGCAAGCAGTAATAACAGTGGGAACATTGGTTTCGCTGAGGTCTAAGCGAGTCAGTAAACTGCGCCAGCGCGCCTTTAAACGTCCAAATGCACATTCTACCACCATTCTGCACTTGCTCAGCCTGTAGTTGAACAGCTCCTGACTACTGTCCAGGCTGCCTGTGTACGGCTTCATGAGCCATGGCATTAAGGGGTAGGCTGGGTCCCCAAGGATACATATAGGCATTTCAACATCCCCAACAGTTATTTTCTGGTCTGGGAATAAAGTCCCTTCCTGCAGCTTTTGAAACAGACCAGAGTTCCTGAAGATGCGAGCATCATGCACCTTTCCCGGCCATCCCACGTTGATGTTGGTGAAACGTCCCTTGTGATCCACCAGAGCTTGCAGCACTATCGAAAAGTACCCCTTGCGGTTTATGTACTCGGCGGCTTGGTGCTCCGGTGCCAAGATAGGGATATGGGTTCCGTCTATAGCCCCACCACAGTTAGGGAATCCCATTGCAGCAAAGCCATCCACTATGATCTGCACATTTCCCAGGGTCACTACCCTTGATATCAGCAGATCTTTGATTGCGTGGGCTACTTGCATCACAGCAGCCCCCACAGTAGATTTGCCCACTCCAAATTGATTCCCAACTGACCGGTAGCTGTCTGGCGTTGCAAGCTTCCACAGGGCTATCGCCACTCGCTTCTCAACTGTGAGGGCTGCTCTCATCTTGGTATTCATGTGCTTCAGGGCAGGGGAAAGCAAGTCACAAACTTCCATGAAAGTGCCCCTACGCATGCGAAAGTTTCGCAGCCACTGGGAATCGTCCCAGACCTGCAACACTATGCGGTCCCACCAGTCTGTGCTTGTTTCCCGAGCCCAGAATCGGCGTTCCACAGCATGAACCTGCCCCATTAGCACCGTGATGCATGCATTGTCAGGGCCCATGCTTTCAGAGAAATCTGTGTCCATGTCCTGATCACTCACGGGACCGCGCTGACGTCGCCTCCTCGCCCGGTATCGCGTTGCCATGTTCTGGTGCTGCATATACTGCTGGATAATGCGTGTGGTGGTTAATGTGCTCCTAATTGCCAAAGTGAGCTGAGCGGGCTCCATGCTTGCCGTGGTATGGCATCTGCACAGGTAACTCAGGAAAAAAGGCGCGAAATGATTGTCTGCCCTTGCTTTCACGGGGGGAGGGAGGGAACGGGGGGCTGACGATATGTACCCAGAACCACCCGCGACAATGTTTTAGCCCCATCAGGCATTGGGATCTCAACCCAGAATTCCAATGGGCAGCGGAGACTGCGGGAACTGTGGGATAGCTACCCACAGTGCAACGCTCCGGAAGTCGACGCTTGCCTCGGTACTGTGGAAGCGCTCCACCGAGTTAATGCACTTAATGCACTTAGAGCATTTTCTGTGGGGACACACACACTCGAATATATAAAACCGATTTCTAAAAAAACGACTTCTATAAATTCGACCTAATTTCGTAGTGTAGACATACCCACAGGATATGGGACTTTGCCTATGGATCCTTATATAATAAGAATGGATATAAGAATTGGCATAAATATAAGGACATTACATATGATGGTCTATGTGGCCTTTGGGCTTGGAAGCAACAGCAATTTTAATTTGCAAGCTGCAGAGCAGCAGATAAATTATATGGGATCTCTGGGCCTAAGAAGCTTTCTTTAAAACAATTAAACTGTTTAATTTTTAGAAGATGACAAAATTTAACAAGAACTTCTGGGTTAAGAAATATTCCCCCAGCTGGTCAAACTTTAAAGTTAATGGGCACACATTTCAAGCCCCAGATTATGAAGAGCAATGCATATACTGTATGTGTTTTTTCCAAAAAAAATGAGAGGAGTTCAGAACCTTTAGAGATGGACCCAACATAGCATTAGTGTAACTTGTGATGTGAGATATTGGGCATGTCAAAAAAAAAAAAAAAGGAAGGTTTGGTGGAAGGCTCTCCCAGTTATTCAGTAGGAAAGGTGCAGTGAGCTGGTGTTCTCGCTGTACACATCCCAAAAGGTAGGGTCACCCTGTTGGAAGTCTTAGCAGAGAGGACAAGGACTGATCTCACCTCATACCCAGAAGGTTGACCACACCCTCTCCCCTGTGTCCAGATCAAAGTTGTGGAAGAGTGATGGGAGATGAGTATCAGAGGGGTAGCCGTGTTAGTCTGTATCTACAAGAAAGAGGAGTCCAGTGGCACCTTAAAGACTAACAGATTTATTTGGGCATAAGCTTTTGTGCCACCTGACTCCTTGTTTTTGCTGGGAGATGGTGAGGAGACAGCTTACAGCACCCTGCTGCTCTGCTCTACGTTCAATTTCTAGTAATAGCTTCTGAGCTCTTCAGGCCAGGAACATGGGTCTTCCTTGATGTGTGGACAGTGCTTAGCACACTATGGTGCTACCATAAAACAAATAATAAATAGCAGTAACTTCTGTATTAACATTCAACTAAAATTTAAGACAACATTGTAAGTGTTCTGGGGCCAGCCTCTGCCTCAGAGCCAACTGAACATCCCATCTTCGTTTTTCTACGGGCAACCGAACATTATTGCCAAAACTACCAAAATTAAAGCCCTCCTGTATGATGTTCAGTCTCATCCTAGGCACACCACAAAGTTATTGCATGTTCCAAATCAGATGTAATGGACGAGAAGGCAAAACAGAACAGGTTAGTTAGGCAAATCAGGGAAGGTGATATCTGACCTTCTCTGACACCATATCCACTTATATCTCAATGTCAGCTTCTGCATGAGAAAGACAGAAGATTAAATCAGGGCAATGGGACATAAAAAAATCACTTGCTCTTATCCATTTCAATTGCATCATTCAAAACACTCCTGCATGTGCTGCCTGTTGTGAAGGAAAGGCAAAGCGGAGAGCACAATTGTTTTGCTTTCTTTTATTCAATTAGCCCTTTGTTTTCTTGTTCAGTTGCTACATGAACTGTGCCTAAGTTCCTTGGGGAAGAGACTTGTTACTTACCAGTACCCATCTCCTCTTGGACACAACTCTATGTTGAAGGAAGTGCTGAGCAAATGTTTTCAGCAAATAGTAAATTTTTGGAGTACCAAAACTATTTGCAAATTCTGTCGAATTCAGTGAACAATTACATCCAAACAAACCTGAAAAAAAATCCCTGGGAAATAATAAAACATTTCACCAGAGCAATATTTTGTTGTTGTTGTTTTGTCAAGAAAGCTCAAAAACAATCAGCTTCAGTTCAAGACAAACTGCATGTGTCTTTATTTTTTGGTTGAGCCACCGAACCAAAAAAAAAAAAAGTCAATTATTTGCTTAGCTTGAGTGGAAGATGTGTTGTACACAGTCAAAATCCACCACTAAAGAAAGCCCGCTCAGATCCTTGGCCTCCTGGCTGAGAATGGTGACTCTGCCAGGAAATACGTTCACTGATGGACTTCAGTATAGCATCAACCTCTTGGCCCCAGTATAAAAGCTTACTGGGCACATAAATCAGGATGATAAGAAGCATAAAACACACAGGCAATCAGGGCTTAAATGTTCAATAGTGACCAGTCATAGAATCATAGAATATCAGGGTTGGAAGGGACCTCAGCAGGTCATCTAGTCCAACCCCCTGCTCAAAGCAGGACCGATCCCCAATTAAATCATCCCAGCCAGGGCTTTGTCAAGCCTGACCTTAAAAACCTCAAAGGAAGGAGATTCCACCACCTCCCTAGGTAACGCATTCCAGTGTTTCACCACCCTCCAAGTAAAAAAGTTTTTCCTAATATCCAACCTAAACCTCCCCCACTGCAACTTGAGACCATTGCTCCTTGTTCTGTCATCTGCTACCACTGAGAACAGTCTAGAGCCATCCTCTTTGGAACCCCCTTTCAGGTAGTTGAAAGCAGCTATCAAATCCCCCCTCATTCTTCTCTTCTGCAGACTAAACATCCCCAGTTCCCTCAGCCTCTCTTCATAACTCATGTGTTCCAGTCTCCTAATCATTTTTGTTGCCCTCCGCTGGACTCTTTCCAATTTCTCCACATCCTTCTTATAGTGTGGGGCCCAAAACTGGACACAGTACTCCAGATGAGGCCTCACCAGTGTCGAATAGAGGGGAACGATCATGTCCCTCGATCTGCTGGCAATGCCCCTACTTATACATCCCAAAATGCCATTGGCCTTCTTGGCAACAAGGGCACACTGTTGACTCATATCCAGCTTCTCGTCCACTGTCACCCCTAGGTCCTTTTCTGCAGAACTGCTGCCAAGCCATTCGGTCCCTAGTCTGTAGTGGTGCATTGGATTCTTCCGTCCTAAGTGCAGGACTCTGCACTTGTCCTTGGTTTGAGAATCCTCAGTTGAAGACACCTAATTGGTCTGATATTTACAAAGCATGCTCTAAAAATCAGGTGACCCAAAAGCTAAGAATCCAGTAAATGAGGGATTCAAAGCCACTGGTCACTTCTGAAAATGTCGGCCTGATAAGTTAGGTGTTCCTTTAAACTCTCAGACAGCTGTTCTGGAAAGCTTGCTGCATATGCCAAGCAGCAAGGTCCAACACACTGGATGATCATTCACTTTGCTGAGAAGAGGATCCCCCCCCCCCCAAATTTTAAGTAAAATGCAAGAAGTGCAGTTCCAGGGTATGATTAACAGTGTGATTCTTCTGTTATTTTACACTCTGCAAATCAGCACTGATTATCTTTGCACTCGTGAAAAATGTATCTACATAGAAATGCAGCAAATCATCCCTCAAGACATTTGAGTTCCTCATTCAATGCCGGTAGCATATATTTTATGTGCCTTTAAAATGTCAAGAATATAAAAGGAGGCAGCATGACAAGAGGAAATTAAATTCAAAGCATC